CTGTTGCCATACCCCTAGACTGCTCCATAGCCTCCCTTTCATTCCTCAGGACCCATTCCCCACTGATAAACCAGAGAGAGCTTCTAAAACCTGCATCTCCCACAAGGCCCTTAAGTGCCTTGTGCTGTCTTGAAATGAAGCCTGATTCCTCACTATGGCCTGTGAGACTATGGAGGACCTGGCTCTGCTATCCTAAGTTGCCTCTGTCCCTCTTCTCATTCTTCTCACTGCAATAAACTACCTCCTTTCTGGCTCAAGTGCTTGTCTCCTGCTTCGTGCTCTTCCCAGCTTCCCTCCTGGCAGATACAGGGTCCCTCACCTCAGTTATCATCTCAGAGATGCACTTTCCCTTGCTGTCCCCCTCCCCACAGGTGAACAAGAACAAACTATGTGTTTGTCCCTTAAATTTTGACCAGACTTGCACCATGCCTGGCAACCCAAGTCGTTTTTCCAAGCCTCTGGGAACTTTTGAATACATTTTACAAATGTCAAGAGCTGGCCATTGTGAGGCTCATACCTTTGAATGTCAACATTCAATGCACATGAGTGGGAGGCTACAGACAACAGCTAAAGGAGCAAAGAAAGTTAGGCCCAGCACTGTTAGCCAGAGCAGCTGAGTGCTTCTTAATGTGGGGCCCATGTGGCTGCCTGGTACCTGTAAGGCCCTGTGGGAGCCAGCTGCAGGGTCTGACAGGCCATTAGCTCCACGTGGAAAAAGCCGAGAATCAGAGTGCTTCTAATGGCTTGTTTTTTAACCAACTTTATGAGACAGTTTCAGGAAGAGGATGGACTGTGGGATGTTGTCCCTTGCTCGTTTTGAAGCCATTTCTGTTGTTTACAGACCAGATGACCATTGGCAAGACACTTTTTTTCTCTTTTGTCCTTTGGCTTCCTTCTCTCTGCAGTAGGTATGCCTGTCCATCAAACTTACAGGATAGTTGGGGTCAGTTCTGGTGGCACCTTCTCAGTCTGTAGCCTCAAGTACATGGTCCTGTGAGGGTGGACTCCACCGTTATGACCTCTCAGGTGGCTGTTGAGGTTTGGAGGTCAGTAGTAAGCTCTACTCAGGGCCACTTGTTGGTGCCTGGTGGTATTGCCTCAGCCAGCCAGGGAGGGCTGCACCCCACTGCCACCGGCAGAGCTTCACATACAGGTGCATTTTCTATTCAAATCCTCATAATCATTCTGTAAGATACAAGTTCTCATTGATCAGATGATGACATTGAGACATAGTGAAGTTAAGTCACTTGCCCAAAGCCATTAAGCTGGTAAGTGGTATATTCTGAGCTAAACACAGGTCTGCCTGAAAGGTCTTTGAAAGATTTGAAAAGGAAAATTGGTAAAGTCAGGACTTCCTACACCTGTCTGACCTTAAGAAAGTAATAGTGGTGTTGTAGTCAGCTTTCTGTCACTGTAATACACTTTAGATAATCAACTGACAAAGACAAGAAGTTTATTTTAGCTGATAGTTTTAGAGACCCACTGCTTTTGGGCCTCTGGTGCAGGGATGTGCAGCATACTATGGTGGGAGTGCGTGGCATAGCAAAATCATTCACCTCATGATAGTGAAATGGAAGGGAGAAAGGAAGTGGAAGGAACTGAGACCCCATATACTCTTCAAAGGCAAACCCTCAATGACCTAAAGACCATCCATAGGCTCCACCTTTTTAAAGTTTCCAGTACCATGGACTGGGAAACAAGCCTTTAACACATGGGCCTTTGGGGACATTCCAGTTCAAGCCAGGGCATTCTATCCCTGGACCCAAGACACAATGCAAAATACATTCTATCTATCTCCAACGTTCCCCTAAGTCCTAACAGTTACAGAATCTCTCACAAGTCCTTTCCAGAGTCTCCTCAGACTCAAGGCACACTCTTAGCTGTGACCCCTATATAAAAGCAAAAAACAAATTACTCCCAAGATGCACTGATATAGGGTAAACATTCCCATTCAAAAAGGGAGGAATAGCAAAATTACAAAGAGGGATTGGACCAAAGCAAGACTGAAACTCAGCAAGACAGACATTAAATTCTAAATCTCCTGGTCCAGCATGTGGGAAGAGCATGCTATGGTGGGTGAGGGACTCCAGAGGGCTTGCTTGTAGAGTGCATGGCCTCTCTCGGGCTGATGTTGTATACTGCCTGCAGCTTCCCTCATCAGACATCACATATTCCTGCCATCTCTAATTTTCTGGGGTTGGCATTGCAGCTTTGGCTTCACTCTCACAGCTCCACACATTACCCTATTAGGGACTGCTTGCAGGGCTTCTGACCCTGCCATATGCTGCCCGATTGCCTAGGGTTTCCTTTGAAGTTTCTGTGGAAGCCTTCATGCCCCATCTGCTTTCTGCCCGTCTGCAAAACCAGAATCACCTGGATGATGCCAGATTCTTCAGCCAGCAAGATTATACCTGGGGCTGCCTGACTGTGGCTGTACTACCCTCTGAGTGCCTTGATAGCTGAACACTGAATGAATTCCATGGTGGTCCTGGGCAAGCAAGGTGCCCAGGGCTCTTTTCTCAGAAGATTGCCCTGGAAAGCCTTTGCAAGAAATTTCTATTTCTGTACCTTTGAGCTTGTGATGGCTACCACCATGATTTCTGAGATGCTTTCTAGGCATCTTTCCTCTTTTCTGAAGAAAAGTGCTTGACTTCTCCCCTCACCCCACCTCAGTACTGGATTTGAATGCAGGGCATTCATACTGAGCTTAGTCGCTTGCTGCGTTTTCTGTGCTGGACTCGGAACTGGTGATCCTCTGCCTCCAAGAGTGTTGAGATTGCAGGAGTGTGCCACCATGCCCAGCTATTTGGCTTCTTTTTAGGATTCTCATCTCTTCAACTGTACTCTCCTTGGCTGCACCTTTTTTTTTTTCCCTAAAATTCTTTCATTGGTACAGTTTAGGTATACAATACGTTTACATTTATCATTGGGTGCTTGTACCTGTACATGATGTATCTTGGTTTTTATTTTTTTCCCTATTACTTTTGCGCCCTTCACCCCCTCCACCCTTCCCTATTTACATAGACTTCATTTCCATTTTTTTCTTTTCTCATAATTTTTCCTTTCCCTTCTTTCCTCTTCCCATTCCACCCCCCCCCCACCCCTTTGTACATAGACTTCATTTCCATTTTTTTCTTTTCTCATAATTTTTCCTTTC